TCCTGAATTGAATACTAGGCATTGTCTGAGAAGGGACTCGTTGTTTATATAGTATCAGAAAGGCACGAGACACTTCATAGTCCTGCAGAATGTAAAAAGACAACATACAAACAGCGAATGGGAGGACTAGGGTGATGTAGTTTAGTAAAGCTCTGCTTAACACCACAATGCCAGTTTTGCTTGATCTAGTTCTTATATTTCCTTTCCAATTTTGTGCTAAGATTTCCTGGTGAAGAAGGCTACGGTAATTTTTTTTCATTTGGGGCTGAGGGAAAAGGCAAAGAAGATCACATTGTTATAATTGGCATTAACTACACTGTGATGGTTTTGTTAGGTATAGGAAAAGAGAAATGTAAAGAATCAGATTAACTCCTTTTTTTAAAACTGTCGTTTAAATCTGCATATAAATATGGGAAGCCTAGATCTATAAGAACAAAGACAATAAAAACAGTTTTTCTCCTAAAGTACCATTGTTAAATAGCAGCTATGCATGCACTATATGTAAAAAGCTATTTGCCATGACTAATGGATATAATGGTGTATATCTAATATTTTATCTCAAATGTGAGTCCAAAGAATCCTATAGCTGAAAAAAAATTACATTTATCAGCAAAAAAACAAAAACAAAAAAAACCCAATAAGCAATATGAAAACTTGATGCTAACATTTAATTTTTAAAATAACAGCTAAAAACAGATTAATTAGATGTTCCCAATTAGGAATTTGGGAACAAGAGCTATTTTAGGATATAAGGCAAAGAAGCCACTCTTGGATCTTCCAGGTCTTTGAATATACACATTCATCCCACAGTATGTTTTCCTTCAGTGCTTGTTTTTCTCCCAACTAGATTCCTTATTTAAGATGTAGGGAGTAAAGGAAGGAATTCTGAAAATTTTCAACACCAACATACGTATCCCTAACTACTTAGGCACAGAGGTTGGAAATTTCATCTTCCTTCCAAAACGTTCAAAACATGACAGTGAGGTAACAATTTCCCTTAGAAAGAAATATTTGCTTTGTTTTTGTCTCATTATTTTAGATGTCTTAGGTTGCAAAACAGATGCAATGAGCCTATGTCAGTATCTACCGGAGGCTACAAAACCGTGCCATTTTTGCTAGATATTATACCCAGGACAAATTATTAACACTGCAAGTGTGCAACTAATCATTTCAAAGTTTCAATGCATTCAATTACAATTAATGCCCTCAACTGTGTATTGACTCACAGCTTTTTTTAAAACTAAGGTTTTTAAATACAGAATTCAACCTGCATTTCATGAAGTCTCTTTATATTATAACGCTAATCAGTCTTTTCTCAAAGTTATTTCTAGCTAGTTGTTCTATTACACACCAGTGAACCATGCATGTTGGAAGCCAAAGATTTACCAGTACAAGTTTTTGCTTCTTCTTGATTCTTAAGCATTCCCACTCAACCTAAGAGCAGGTGATACAGAACAACACTGAACCACGGGCTAAAAATTGATTTTGCACGGTGTGGTGCAACATCTAAAATACAAAACGTGTTTTGTAAAGTGAACTTTTCTAGCAAAAAAGAATAAAGAAGTTCAAACAGCTCCTTAACATTATTATGCATAGAATAGCTATTTTAGGTATTTTACAGGTTTCTAAAATTTATTTGTTTGTACACTCCCTAGTATAATTGGCAATTAATCTCTGTTTGTGGTCCTTAGGCACTACCTCAGTAGAAACAGAATACAATAAAATAATAATCATTAATAATTGCTACTAATATTAGAATTTCCCTTGTTTCCTTTCCTTAGCTATCTGGTTTATTTTATAAACAAATATATGCATTTTTAAAATTAATCTTCAAAATAATATCAGTTCACGATACACTCCCCCCACAACACTGATCTCATAATCCGATGGCGTTGACCTCAAAGCCAAATTTTATTTCCATGGAATAAAAAGTCATTTCCCAATGCAACTAACTAAATCATACTTATGTTTGCAATTTTAAGCTTTCTATAAATCTCTTTTCAGGCTCTATTAGTCAAGACCAATGATGTTTTCAGAACTTAGAATTATACACCCGAGTGTAGACAGCATACTCTACAGTACTATGTATCTTATTTCATTAATCATGTCTAGGATCAGCAAGAAACCTGAAATACCTTAATTACATTTTATGAAAGTATTATGAATTTAAGATGGAGAACCATTTTTAAAAATCCTTGGAAATAAGAAAGTTAGTTTATTATGCAACAAAGAGACCTGTGGCACCTTATAGACTAACAGATGTATTGTAGCATAAGCTTTCATGGATGAATACCCATTTCATCAGACGCAACATGTATTCACCCACGAAAGCTTATGATCTAATGCATCTGTTAGTCTATAAAGTGCCACAGGTCTCTTTGTTGCTTTTTACAGATCCAGACTAACACTGCTACCCCTTAGTTTATTATGTTCACATTGCAAGAGTTTAACAAAGATACTTTGTGTCAAAGTATCAAATCTCCAGTTCTATTAACTTTACTCAGAATTGCCTAACAGATTGTTTATTGTAAATGGTTACCAAGTTACTCTTGTAAAGTGTTATTTTAAAATATTTTCAATAATCCCATCTTTATTTCACTAAAGTCTGCAATAGCTTCTAACACTTTTATAGGGGCCAAGAGAGCCAGAGCACTTAAAAATAAATCTAATAAATAGAAGTAACAAAATGGAAACAGCCCACAAAAAACAGTAATAAAAATAAATTATATTCGGCATTAGGCCAACTAGAAAATTAGCATCTAATCTAAGAAGCTTTTTTTTTTTGTTGCGGATTGGAAAATAAAAACAAAAGTCAAGCAAATGTTTTAAAAGGGCAACCATGAAATGCAGAACTCGTCTGAGGAAAAGAAAAATTCCTATAAGCAGTGAACTTTTCTAGTTATGAATCAGCAATTCTCTTTCCTGCAAAGAATAACAAATGACTATTTCCTTGTTTTAAGGCATCTTGTTTTGAGGCTCATATCTGTCCTAATTTACAGTTCATTTAATTTACATTAAAAAGCTAATTTTTAAGATGTACCATTATATTTGTTATCTTAAATAACCAACATGTGACTCAAATATTCCGTTTATAAAATTAATTTCCAAATATTCCTCATGCAACAAAATACAATTTGCCATTATTTCCTACTTAATATACTTCATGTGGGAGTGCACTAACTATAATGTAAACATGGAAGCACAGATTAAATTATGGAGCAGTTACAAAATAACGCGATCAAGTTGCAGTGCCTTAGATAGAGATGTTCGACATTTGCCATTTTACGCCATGCTGCCATGATACAGAACAGTTGACGCACACCAAGTTCTTTAAATTGTCTTCTTCAAGATAGACTTGAAGGAAGACTCACATTTCAATTTTTACACAGAATTTGCAGTCAGAAACGATTATCAAAAATGTGATGATTATTAAAAATGTTTTAAACAAAAACCAAAAGGATGGTCATGAAACACCTTGATGTCTTCACCTAGCTAACTTGTGTTATGTGCCGTATAAAATCTTGATAAACAATAAGATATTAGAGCCATCTTTAGAGACTGCCATTTAAAAGTTCAGACAGACTTTGTGATGGTTTAGGAACAAATTTAAGTGGCTTGTAGCAGGATTACAATTTATGTATATAGTAGCTCTTCAGTTACCCAGCAGATCTATATGATACGGATATTATATAAATACTATATTTCTGTATTTTATACACACTAATATTTCAAACTGAAGTTCAGTTTCTATAAGAATAATTGAACACACATACCAAACATGGGAAAGTTTCATATATAAAATTATGCTGCCTGCTTAAGAAAACACGGTCAACTTTTAGTACCACAAAGTAAAGAGACATCTTGGAGAGTCTGCTTTCATATACATTTTAAAATTAAATTAAATACACAGATGTTCAATCTAAAATAATGTTCCATATGTTCTGTTTATAATAAACATTGTTCTGTTGAATATGTTGGGGAAGGAGGTTGAGAGTGTTTGCTCTGTAGACTTAATCTTGGTCATATAGTAATATTTAAAGAAAATATGTTCACTTACTGATAAAGTTCTACAAACACTAAGTTTAACTAGTAAGCTAGTATTACTTTACCATGCATCAGACTTTGTTTGGCCATACCAGAGATTTACTTGACAAACCGAACACAAGAACTTAATACCTGTTGTGGCCTGGACCAGTATGTCAAAATGTATTTTTTATCAACAAAGCAAACAGAAGATCTTAAAACAAGAGGGGACTAATCTAACAGCTCCCAAATCTATATTTACTAGTGTATTTTTTCTGCCAAAATACAAGTCCAGAGTTTTTTTTTAAACATAAAACTATGACCAAAGCAAACAAACAAAAGTTAGATAGAGAACATATAATTTAATTGCATCAGTACAGTATCACTTTTTATATAGTATTCATATTTCATGTACTAATTACAGTGCATTTAGTTAGTCTTTAACCCTCTGGTTTAACCCAACAGAAAATAGTTATCACTCTTAAGCAACTGTATGTGTCAGGGTATTTCTTCCCCTTTTGAGAGAGAGAGTAAAAAAGTAAAATATCATAAGGTTTTTTATTACCATTATTACACTGATAAGAGCGAGGGAGAGTCTTTTATGCATGGGACTGATAAGTTTTCCTAACTATTCCTATGTCTTGTCTGTACCGGCACAATACTGACTCCGCTCATTGTAGGCCTGATGACTATCACATTTGCAGCCAACTCATGGGAAAATAACTTTGGTTTATGAATTTTGCTGAACGCAACAACAAACAACAGCCGCCACAAAAGCAAAAACTTTTCAGAAGCGTCCAACTACAATCTACCATGAAGTGAAATGGATTATAAGGGACCCAATAAATACTCTGAACATGGTTGAGCCCCTGTTTAAAAGGAAACTCAGCCGAGCCCCAGCAGCAAAACTCAACCTGGCTGCTAAACCGCTACTGATCCTTGTAGGGATGACTGTCTGTAAATCAGAGGTACAGAATTTTCCCTAGTTTGTCCTGGGGCTCTGCCTAGGGCCGAGAGGGTGAAATTTGGTTTGGTACCTAAATTAGGAGAGTGGAAAACAGCGAGAGCCGTTTAAATCCCTTAGCTAACGGATCCTTAAGGATTTGCATGCTCCAGACCTGCCAAAGCAACCCGGCTAGAAAGACCAATTCATCGGGGAGGGAGATTTTGCCACAGACCCCCGTGCGCGGCACTGCCCGTGTGACCCCGCCGGCACAGCGGGGAAAGGGAAAGGGAGCAGGAGCTGCCCAGGAACAAGGGCGAAGTTTGACCCCGCTCCGGCTCCAAGCCTGGGAGTCACTAGCGCGCCTCTTACTTTTGGATGAGTTGGGGCAGACGGGGCGGCGGCGGCATCCCTCTGCTGGAGGCCGGGTGGCCGGGGGCCGCGTTGCGGGCATCTCGGTCGGGCTGTTGAGAGCCGCTGGGGGCCGGGGCCTGGTTCATGGTGGCAGCGGGGACCATTCAGCCAGAGCCTCCCCCAGCCCCCTGGAGCGATGGGGCACCGCGGAGCGCGCCTCGGAGCCAGCCCGGGGGGGGGGGGTAGAGGGAGGAGCAAAGCCGTGGGGGCTGGACAGCCCGGCCCACGGGAGCCCGGAGCGGGAGCCCACCCCCCGGCGGCTAGGAGGCTGCGGCGGCCCTATGGGGGGCGGCCGGCGCCTGGGGAGCAGCATTTATGACGATGGCTGGCACAGCGGAGCCAATGGGAGGAGCAGCCCCCCCCCCCACCACGCGGGAGTCCCCGGCTGCTGGGGGGACGCAGAGAGCCGGGAACCCCCCCCCTTCAGCCCCTCTCTCGGCCCGGGGGGCGCAGTGAGCCGGGACCCCCCCTTCCGTCCCGCTCCTGGCCCGGGAAGCGCAGTGAGCCGGGACCCCCCCCCCCTCCCATTCCCCTCCCGACCCGGGGGCGCAGTGACCCGGGCCCCCCCCTTCCGTCCCCCTTCCAGCCTGGGGAGTGCTGTGAACCAGGATCCCCCTTCTATCCTCCTCCCGGCCTGGGAGGTGCACCGCACCCACTCCTCCCCCCAGGGCTGTTGGAACAATTGTTATAGTGGGGGTGCTGGAAGAGGAAGCGATGCATTTGGTTGTTATGACTACCTTCAAGCCATGGGGTGCTCCCACACCCCTAGTTCTAGCCCCCCCCCCCAACTCTCCAATCCTTTGGGGGCAGCAAGTCAGATCCATCCTCTCTCTATTCCTCCAGCTGTCCTCTCACTCCCTTCCCCATCATCCCCCCAGCTACAGGGGCAGGGGGAGTAATGCTCCACCCCCCTCCACAGCCCCGAGCTTCTTCCCCATCTCCTAGAAGAGATGCTGCCCCGTGCTGCCTCTTCCCTGCCCACCCCATTAGTGGTCTGCCTCAGCTCCCTGGAGCTCTCCATCCTCCCTCCCCCAGAGAGCCTGCACTTTCCTCTGCTTTGTTCTCCTTCTTTTTCACAGATGCAGGAGGAAACCTGCTGGTGGCTTCTGCAGGAGAACTGACTGTTTCTCTGGGCCTCAGTGGTACCTCTGTCTGCCTCTTATTTGGGGTCCTGATATCCTGATGCAAATTATATATTTCATTTTTCATCATTATTACAGTAGCACCCAACTGTTCTGGAAGTTGTACCTATATGTCTACACAAAGGGAATCGCTGCCCCAAAGAAGCAATTTGACCCATATTTCTACAATTATACAAAGCATTCCAATGCAATTGTAAGATTTTGCATCGCAAATTAGTTGCTGTCATCTCTGTCCTTTATTTCCTAGAAGCACAGGTGGGGACACTATTGGAGCTCCAAGCAAAGAATCCATTTCCTAATCCTTACTTTGAAGGGTGCTAACTGTGTTCTTGAAGCCTAATTGACCACAGTGACAATCTATCTCCCCCCTCACCTTTATTACTGGTGCCTTATTTGTGGCCATCGGTCAGTAGTTTGGTATGGAGGGAGGGACAGGTTTCTGCTGCTGGCATACAGCTGTTCCCAAGAAAATGTAGTGAGCTTCATAGTCCTCTCTCCTTTTTATGATGGAGCCCAGGAAAGGAAACCCAGCTTAATATTTTATCTAACATACCAGCACTTCCATAATGTAGTTCTATCAAGGATCTAAAAGTGCTTTACAAACATTAAATTTCACACCTCTGGGAGGGAGGGAAGTGTTAATATCATTTTACCCTTTACCAATAATGTACACCTGGAAATAATCATCTGTTGCATATGGCCCTTGTCATGTGTTTATAAAATAGGAGAGGATGATTATGCACCAGCCAGCAATGTCATCACTCTCCTTTGCTAGTCACGAGTTATGGAGTCATCCCTAAAAGAAACTCACATTAGGGATCACCCAAAGAGTGTATTTTTACTGAGTGATTGTATAAGTTATGGCCCGCAACCTTGCAAACACTTAAGCACATGTGTAAGTGTTTACAGGATCAGGGCCAATTTAGCAATAACTTTACCCACCCCTGCTTTAATGCAGGAATAGCTATTAGAGAAAGAGTTAAAGCATGCTAGTGTGATATGAGATATAGGTTTAACTTGCATACATTTTGATGGACACATTGCTTTCCCACTCATCAATAATGAGTGAATTATGCTGCTTATTCCAAATGAGTGCTATTAAAACTTTTAACATACCCCCATCTTCATGCTTTTTGATATATACCACATATATTACAGAGAAACAGAAAAGGGGTACTGGTGAGGGACTCTTTCAAGGGGTTGCTTTCTGAAAAAGTTTGCATACTACTTCCACTGTGAGTGGAAAATTCTGATTTGGTTGCATTTTGTACTTACTTTGCACAGGTGTAAATATCTAAACCAGATTCAAGGTCATGGAGAATTATACCAGCAGCGTATATTTCAATGTGTACAATCCCTTTCATAGCAGCATAACACTAAAGAGACTTTCTAGAATGACAAGCAACCTGTGCTTTATATATATATTGAAAAATAATCAGGGCATCACATCCTTTTCCCTGCCAACGAAGAATCGTTCCGTGCACTGCATTCTCCAGTGCTTTGTTCAGTTTATTAAAAGCCTCAAGCTTCCACCCCTTTCTGATTTGGAAAAAGTGGCTCTGCATGGAATTCTTCCATGTTATTAGAGTGAGGAAAGCTTCTGTGATTGTCATTCTTTATATAGAGAGACACTCTGATGCCTATAGGATTGAACTCACAACCCTGGGTTTAGCAGGCCAATGCTCAAACCACTGAGATGCCTATAGTTAATCAGGGAAGTGAAAGAAATACTAGGTGATTGATTGCCTTCTGAAAGGAATGAAAGAATAACTGTGAAACAAATGCCTGCCTGTAGATTAGTATATGGTATTCAGGTTTGTGCATAAAAATATGAGCATGTTACATTTCATACACACACGATTCTATTTACATCACTTGTGAAAGTGGATAAGGTAAAGAGCATGGATTTTATTGGTGCAAATAAATTGTACTCAGTACAATACCATGTTGATGTTTTTCCCACAATATATATGCATGTATATTTTCAGACTGGTCTTCTGATTTTCGAAACCCTCACAACATCCACATCCACTCTTTTGCAGCCTTTTCTTCCCCTCTCTTCCTTTCTACACAGTTGCATTGTTCCTGGGTTCTGTCTGTTGTTCCAGCCAAGTGATATTTGGATGGAGAAGCTAAGGGCTAAAGCAGAAGCATGTGATGCATGGGTAAGAGAAAGTCTACCACTGGAAAAGTTTCCATATTTCATACATTTTCAGATTTTCCTGGAAATAACCTGAACCAGCACAGCTTTTCACTTGATCCTTTTAAATGGATGTTTCTACTGGATGTAAGTGGAACCAGGTGGCCACAGCTGCTAGAAGCAAGAGTGACCTCACTAAACCTTTCTGCTGATGGTCCTCCATTGCAGTGATTCTCAACCAGGGGTCTGGGGACCCCTGGGGAGCCATGAGAAGGTTTCAGGGGGGCTGCCAAGCAAGGCCAGCATTAGACTCGCTGGGGCCCTGGGCAGAAAGCCAAGCCCCATTGCATGGGGCTGAAGCCCAGGGCTCTGAGCCCCGCCACCCAGGGCTGAAGCCAAAGCCTGAGCAATATAACTCCATGGGTGGCCTCTGTGGAATGGGGCCCCAGGCAGTTGCTATCCCCGAACGCCAGCCCTGGCTTTTATATGCAGAAAACCAGTTATTGTGGCACAGGTGGGATATGGAGGTTTTATAGCATGTGGGGGAGGGGCCTCAGAAAGAAAAAGGTTGAGAACCCCTGCTCCATTGCACCTGTTGTGCTATGTCTATTGTCCCGTAACATGCCAATAGAATTATGCAATGTTAGGATACACCTGATACATTCTACCTGGTCATACCTAAGCATACAACAGCAGGCAAGTGGCTAACTGGATGAGCAGGAGTACAGATTACATACATAAACAGAGGTTAAATCTCTTCGTGTCTCTTTTAAATCCAAAGCACAAAGAGAAAATTTCCTGGAGAAACTGAAAGGAAAATAGAGGGCAGAACCCTTGCTTGAAAAGGTACTGGTCTACATAGCTGTAGGTGTTACAGGGAAATCACATCACTTTAAAAGTGCAAGATTATGCAATTTAAAGTTGAAAGCAGAACATTAACTCCATATACAGGCAGAGAATGAAGTTCCCAAATGACGCTTTGAGAAAGAGGACATTTTTCCAAATTAACAGAAGGAGAGAGAGAAAACTCAGAGCTGGACTGAACCCCAAATGTGGTGGTCAAGTTTCATCAAGATTCTAGCTGCGCAGATCAAGAATTACCAGGATGTAAAAAGTTGTGTGGAGTCAAAGCTATCAAGCACTCAACCACAGATTCCTCATCTGTCCAGGTTACCAGCAGTATGTGATAGTTGAAACTTTCCAATACACTGGAGTCAGCTGATGAAAGGCAAATATTGTAAAGATCTTGTCCCATTGTAGAACAGTGTTCACTAACTTTGTTTTTCTGCATTTCTTGTGAAATAATATTATCCTACCTCCACCCCACACCAGAGGCAGCATAATCCTCTGTCCACATACTGTACTGTAAATTTCAAAAAGATTGGAGTGTGCCACTGATCATACCTCAAATGTTTATGCATGCTGTTTGATCCCAGAATACTGACTTATGTCATTAATGGCTTGTGTCATCCTCCTTTCCAGTTTCAGAAATGGCAAGTGTTCATCATCTTAGCTACACTAATCTAATGCTTAAAGAAAAAATAGAAAAGAACAAGGTAAAGCAGAACAGGACATTGTAAAACCAGATTCAGGATGACTATAAAAGGGACAAAATAAAATCAGTTAAAAATTTTTTCCTTTTGTGTATTACTAATAACAATATAAACAAAACTGATTTAGTCTCATTGTTCAGTTTACATTTCACTCAATTTAGACAGTAGCTTATGTAAGATAGTCAGTTTCTAATAATTTCCCCTTCTGGTTCTCATCATACACTACTACAGAACTTGAGAATCTTTAAAATCTTATTTTTACATTCATGTAATAAGCATTTCTATTTATAGTCCGATTCAGGTTTTTGGTACTGTTGCTTTGTATGCAACCTAAATTTGGGGTCTGACTGTGTCCCTTTAATTTTTATGTGAATTTAACTAGAATTAAATTTTATATTATGATTTTCGTTGTACTAGTAAGTTTGTAAATTTTTACATTTTACATAATAGATGGCAATATTGTTCATTTAGGGCCAAATTCTGCCTTCAAGTTGATTTCCACAACTGTTATTAATGCATGCATAACTGAGGGCACTGTTCAGTCTTAATTGATTTATTTCCACATGGGAAAATGCTGCTTTTTGTGAAACAGCCAAGAGCTGTTGAAGCTAATGTTATTGACACTCTTGCACAGGTTGAGCAGAACACAGCAGGTAAAGCAGGACCTCATAGATCTTTATACAAGGGGACCAGTTTTTTATAAGTAACCAGTTTAAGTGACCACATTTGACAACTGGGCACAGAGATTTCATGGGCTTCTACAGCCACATTCTTATTTAGATGACAAAACATTCACTTTATCAAAGAGGTCCTGGCCAAATTTCAGCTCAGGTAATTCCATTCTCCAAGCCCAAATTCCCCCTTCCCTTTGAGGAGAGTGCATTTTATTTACAAGAGACTTTAGGAAAGGTTTAGTGCTGCTGCACAGAACCCAAGAAGTGGCTACGTTGATAAAGAGTCTGTAAAAAGTTTTATTTTCAATTCAGGAAAGAAGGGTTACTTACCATACAGTAACTGTGGTTCTTCAAAATGTGTTGTCTACATGGATCCCATCCATGGTGTGCATGTGCCCCATTCATGCGAGATCAGATTCTTTTGGATAGTGGTCTAGATATCTTCAAATCACCCCCCACTCAAGGGCATAAAGGCCAAACTATCCCTCAATTTCTTCCCCAATACAGAATCCCACAGTTGTGGTGGGGAAGGGTTGTAAAATCCATGTGGACAACACATCTTGAACAACCATAGTTACTATAAGGTAAATAACTATTCTGTTTTCTTGGAACGAGTGTCCACATAGATTCCACTCTGGGTGACTAACACTCAGTTATCTGTTTGCTTGGAGTGGGTAGCAGGAGTCCTACTTAAGCACCAATTGCAGAAGAGCCCTATCAAAATGGGCATTCAGTGTGGAATCTTCTACTAAAGAATAGTGTCTCATAAAAGCATGGACTGGGCTCCACATAGCCGGCTGGGGAGAGTGGAGTCGCGGCTGGTTTGCCGCCCTGCTCCGGCCGGCAGGGGAGAGTGGGGCCGGGCTCAGCGCGCTCCCCGCCGGGGGGCGGGGGGCGGGGGGAGGCTTTTTTGCCTTGGGCGGCAAAAAAGCGAGAGCCGGCCCTGGCCTTAGCCCTGCAGTGCTGTGCTGCCGCCCAGGAGCCACCCTAGGTAAGCGCCACCTGGCTGGAGCCCACACCCCTCACCCCCTCCCACCTCCCTGCCCCAACCCTGAGCCCCCTCCTGGAGCCAGCACCCCAAACCCCTCCCATACCCCCACCCCAGCCCTCGAGCCCCCTTCCGCACCCAAACTCCCTCCCAGAGCCCACACCCTCTCCTCGCACCCCTGCCCCAGCCCAGAGCCCCCTCCTGCACCCCAATCCCCATCTAAAGCCCACACCCCCTCCTGCACCCAACCCCCTGCCCCAGCCCAGAGCCCCCTCCTGCACCAAACTCCCTCCCAGAGCTTGCACCCCACACCCTCTCATGCACCTCAACCCCCTGCCCCAGACTCAGCCTGGAGCCCCCTCCCACACTCCAAACCCTTCGGCCCCAGCCCAGAGCCCGCACCTCCTCCCACAACCCAACTCCCTACCCCAGCCTGGTGAGAGTGGGTGAGAGTGAGCAACAGAGTGAGAAGGGATGTAGTGAGTGGGGCAGGACCTCAGAGAAGTGGCGGGGCCTTGGGGGAAGAGGGCGGGGCAAGGGTGTTTGGGTTTGTGTGATTAGACAGTTGGCAACCCTACTAGGGAGCAGGACCAGAAGTGAGGCCAGGAACCAGGCAAGGGATCAGGAGTGTGCAGCAAGGTTGTTTGCACCAGCAAGCCAGGGCTCCAACTAGTTGCACAGACAACTTCCAGGTGTTTCCACTGGGCCGTAAATAATGTGCTGGGCCAATCAGGGAGCACGGAAGTCTCTGCCAGTCAGGACATCCAGTGGTACTTGAACCTGCACAGCTTATAGGCTGCTGTTCCCCACTTCTGAGCTGTAGGGTAGCGATGTGGACATGGCCGCTCAGGAACCAGCAGACCCAGGTTCCAAGCCCGTGGAGACTTATGCTAAGGGCCTAAATCTCTCCTCTCCTTTGAGCTGCAGTAATGGCTACCAAAAAGGCAGTTTTTATTGACAGGTAGTAAAGGGAACAGGTAACTAAGGGCTTGGGGATGGGGGGAGAACTGATCAAAGCAGCGATTAGTACATTCGGATTCCAAGAGGGAGGGGGCTCCTGCCCTGAGGAACAACATGAATAAGGCCCTTAAGGAACCTTGCCACTGTGAGGTGGGAAAAAGCAGCATGGTCCTGGAGAGGAGGGTGATGTCAGATACTGCTGCTAGATAGACTCTGATGGAGCTAACAGAAAGTCCAGTGTTGCTGAATTGTGTGGTGTGAAGGGAGATAGCTGGCGCTGAGATGCTCACATAGGAAAACCTCTTCCACTTAACTTTATAAAAGTCAGGCTGACTGAAGCTTTCCTGCTTTGGAGCAGAATGTGCTGAACTTCAGCTGAACAGCTTCTTTCAGTGGACGTTATTCAGCCAGCATGCAGGCTGTCAGTTGTAATGGTGATAGGTCCAGATGCAGGATCTGACCATTGTTCTGTGAGTCTACGTTGGGCGTAACAAGGCAGATGAGTGGTGGCTCTGTTATAAGGTTCATAAGATCTGAATCTCAGAACTGTTTGGCCTGTGCTGGGGCAATCATAATTCATCATTTCTACATCTTGCCTCAGTTTCCCCGGAGACTTCAGTAGAATGGGGGATCAGCAGAAAGGCTTATATCAGTCCATTCTCAGGGGATGAGAAAAGCATGTGTCAAGGAGCATGAGCTGGACCTCTGGAACAGAATGTTTGACACTTGTGGTCTCTGGCAGACAGGTCTATTTCTGGGAATCCCCATTTTACAAAAGATGTTCTGCAGGACTGAGTCTTAGACAGATCACTCAATCATCTGAGAACTGTCTGCTGAGTTGATCTGCCAAGGTGTTCCAAAGGGCGGGAGGGTGCCCGACCAGCGGAGTGATTTGATTTGGAATGCACCATCTCCAGCGCTACACGGCCTTCAGACAGAGTGGGGATGATCACACTCCCCTTGTCTGTTGGCATAATGCATAGCTGTGGCGCTGTCTGTCAGCACTTGTATTGTGGGTCCCTGGAGAAGTGGCTGAAATAATTTGCATGCCAGGCAGATGGCTCTGAGCTCTATGGCATTTAAAGATGCAAACTTCTCAAAGGGACCATAGGCCGTGAATTTGAAGATGATCTAAATGAGCTCCCCCGCCCCCATATCCCTGAGTGGAGAGGTCTGTCACCAGAGTCTGTCACTAGGCGCAGAGAAGAGTATGCCATTGCATCCCTAAGGAGGATCTTTCTATCAGTATAATGGGAGGACTTCTTGTGGGATCATGACCATCATTGTCCTTTTGGTGTCTTCTGGATGGACACACTGATTTTAACCATCCTTGCATGGAGAGTAGGCAAAGTCTGGCAAAGTGCATCACACAGGTGCAGGAGGCCATGTGTCCCAAAAGTCTGAGGCATGTTCTCACTGATGTTCTTGGGTGAGCTTCAAGGTAGTTGATGGTTCATTGTGATTTGGAATCTTTCCTGCAGAAGGTAAGCTCTTGCTGACTTTGAATCTAACACCTCTCCTATGAACTCTTGGCTTTAATTCAGAGTATGTGTGGATTTTTCTCTGCTGACTGAGTCTCAGGAAGGCAAAGAGCTTTAGGGTTACTTGAATCAAGTTGTTCACTGATTGGGGTGATCTTCCTCAAATTAGCCAGTCATCAAAGTAGGGATAGACCTGGCTTCCTTAGAGGCGTTGCCATGACTGCCAAGCACTTAGTGAATACCATTGGTGCAATGGAACAACCAAAGGGCAGGACCAACCCCCTTTCTTCTTTGGGATGAGAAAGTAATGAGAACAAACCTTCTGCCCGGAATTCTAAGGGCACCTCTGACACTGCTCTCAGTTGTAAAAGGGAGTCCACTTCTTTAACAGTATCCTTTGAGAAGAGTCCCTGAAAAGGGACGGGGAAGGTGGGTAAAAGAGAAGAGGAAACCGGAACTGAATAAAATACTCCATGTTTACAATCTTCCACTGATCTGAGGGATCCCAGTCCAGACTTCCCAGAAATAAGAGAGGCAGCTTCTAAAGATGGGTGAGGAGTCTAAAAAGAAAAGATCTTCATGTAGTTCTTCCAGGCTCTTAGCATTAATGTCAACCTCACTGCCTGGAAAAAGCCCCAGGCTGTGGAACTGCAGAAGATGAGGCAGAGTGGTGAAATCCTCAGCAGTTTTAAGGTCCTCTGGGGCCGGTGGTCATATTGAGTGGAGGAGAGCTGTCTGAAGGAAGATAGTTGATGTGCTTGCTTCCTTCTGGGGACTGGAAAAACAGAGACCCAAAGAATGTATTGTCACGCTCAAGTGTTAAGGAAGAGAGGGCCTCATCCATCCTAGCATTAAAAGTGGCTTGTCTTCAAATGGAAGATCCTCAATTGTTGTTTGGAGCTCTCTGGGGATGTCTGAGGACTGGAGCCAGAAAGACCTCCTCATTCCCTCAGATGAGGCCAGAGCATGCCCCACAACA